AAAAAGTAATTGATCTCTTCGCATTCAGTTGAACTACTTCAATGAAACTTAGACACCATAAAACCAGCAGCAATTTATTCATGCTCAGTATGCTTCTGTAGCACCAAATTCATCGCTTAGGTTACCAAGAAATACATCAATGAAACAAAGATAAAATAAAACCAGAAGCATGTTGCTCTCAATGCTCAAGTATATAATATAAGATCCTCTCTATCTTTAAGGAAGGGAAAGGCGAGAGAATAGTAGATCAAGGTGGAATCCTCTTCAAGTTGGTCAAATATTAAAGGGGAATTCATTACGATGCAACATGCCATGTTTCATGTAGATTTTAAATAATGTAAAATAGAAAATATCCAAGGAAACGAAAAGAAACGAAAAGACTAGAAAATTAAGAAGAATAGTTTGCAAGCTTCAGTTTTCAATTTCGAATAATTTATTTGAACCGAAACTCCTCCTTTCTTAGGAAGAAGATGAAAGAATTTTCAATTTCAAAAATGTACTTGCCTTCACCACTGGAAAGTGTCCAACAGGAAAAGAGAAAGGCAATGTATGTTAGGAACTAGATAAGTTAGACATCATGAGGAAGATACCAACCATCATCTGCAACTCCATCCACCAGTTCAGCATTGCTGGAAACAGAAGCTTTTGATGACTCGCCATTTTCAACATTCTTAACAGATTCATCTTTGTAAGATTGTTGATAGGGTTCACCTTCTTTCTTTGGGACAGCTCCCAGTGGATCTGCCTCCTCCTGGGCTTTGTACAATAAAGCACATCCATATTTGTAGTACAATTTAACACATTCCGGAGCCAGTTCACCATATCGCGCAGCTCTGCAGTGAAATATTTTCAAGATTATTGCTAGAAAAAACAAATCAAAGGATGAAACTAAACGCATGCAAATGCTTGATTTAAGAATACACTTTTCACATCGTAAAAGAGACATGTTCGCAACAGGCATCCAATGATATAGACAAGAAATAAAAATGAGCAACAAGTTCTTATATGCAAAAGTTAAATAAAGTTAGAACCTAACAACATTACAAAACCTCGTTAAAACTCAATTCATATCTACCAAGACTGTTCGGTGATCCTGACGAGCGGTTGATCTTCAACAAAAGAAAGATAAAGTTCCGAAAATGAATCTGGAGCAACGAAAAGCTCCCCCACCGCTAAAGAAAATGGAATTAAGATTTACCAAGATGAAAATCTTAAAACTGACTAAATGATAAGTGGAAACATGTGATCTAACAGAGTGAAGCAATTGTAACAAATCAACTTTAAGACTCCAAGGGTAATAGAAGCTCGACTTTCATCTTCGTTCCAGAATTCAATTCATAATCAAGAAGAAACTGAAGAGAAAGTGAAAAATAACCAAACCCTAACCTAATCTCAAGGGCACGGCTGAAGCAATCGACAGCCTCAACGAAATCATTGTCCTTAATAGCCTTGGAACCCTTCTCCAGCAACTCTTCGGCCAGCTCCAACGATTTTTCACCACTTCCATCAGAGGTTTGAGCAGTGGATTCAGCAGCGGGCTTCGTTTCGTTGGAACAATTGCAAGACGAGTCGAGGCCTCCCAGAACATCGGACTCAGTGGTGGCCTTACTGACGTTCAGGATTTCGTCGAGTTTCGGTTTCTGCAATGTCACTGAGAGCTCCGATGGTGGATCTTCGTCGGCCATGGCTATAGTTTCGAAGCTTGGAGAAAATGGAGGTTTAAGCAGAGAAGTCCGCACTTCAAGCTTTAAAATCCTTTTTGGGCGGAAACGCGACAACAAAAAATGTATTAAAAAAAATTGCACAATATCCAATTTATACATTCATCTAAAATTCTAATCCATTTTAAAATGCTTAATCCCTTCTATAAAATTTCTTTAAATATAAGAATTAATTTTTTTTTTCATCAACTTTTTTTTTTTTAAGATTTAAAAAAAAATGCTAAAACTCTGAAATCGAGTGATGAAACCCTCCTTTATTCTCGTCTTAGTATCCCTTCAGAGTATCTGAGGGTATATATTATTGAAATATATTTTATATAGTCATAATCCGTTAGAATTTTATATTTAATATATTTTATCTTATTTCCCGAATTGTTAGTAGAATATTTTTTCTTATTTTTAAAATTTAGTTTTAATTTGTATTTTATTTAAACAGGGTGAATATTAATAAAAATTGGACTTTAGATCTCACTAGGACTTTTAATCCTATCTGTGTTTCTGGGACATTCAATCCCACTTATGTTTCTCATTCTTAACATAGTACCCGAGCATCATTCTTAACATACATGACTTTTGTTAGGGGGTATACATTAAACCCGACAATTCGAAAATCCAAATCGATCCAACCTTTGATAGCACGATTACCCAATTATCTTCATTCCCGCTTAACGATTCACTAGTCACCATGTTCTATCGGCTTTTAAAATCTCCTTTCAAGTTGTGGTTACTCCTCAGTCGTCCTAGGTCATTGGATGTGGAATAGGTCTTCAAGTTCTCTCCTACTCATCCTTGATGCACTCAAGGTCGGTTAAGATCTCAATATTGTCATGTCGCAATATGCATCATTCCTTAACTCGTATCTAATATTATCTATTTATTTCATGCACTTGTTCACGTGAGTGGATCACATGACTTTTATCTAAAGTTTTAGGTATGTCCGACCAAAGATTTTATCCGCTCAATAGTAAAATCCTCAAAGTCAACATATTGCACCTTGATGGTGAGACTATTAACTCATGTTTACCTAAACATTTAGTACGAATCTAGACTATTTCTTTGACGAATTTGTAGTTATCATCATGCACATCCTCAAGCACGACCTTTGTCATGATACTTTAGATGAAGACCATGTGTGTCTTCTCGAGATTTAGACCATCTCAGTCGATAACTCTATTTTTCTCGATGGTTGTCCAAGTCGAAGATAGTAAATACATGCAACAACGCTCTCAGGAAGGTTACAACTCGACAACGTGGTCCGTTGACTCACCCAATACTCCCAACATCAAATTTGCATACCAGCACAAATAATCAAAGCCATATTTTCACTAGAATTTTATAGAATCCTTTATCCTCACCAACGGGGGCAAGCCTCCCCCTGTTTTTTGTGAACACAAATGTATTACACTTGAATCCCACTCATACCCTTCCATTTGTTGACGTGTCAGGTGTTTGACGGTTCAACGCAAGGGTATTTTCGGTAACTCATTAATGAATAAATCGAAACGCTATCATTGCATCGCCGCGTTGAAAGGATCAGAACTTTGCTCAAAAAGTCGACAGTGAGAGACAAAGCTATGGCTTCCACAATCTCACCCATTCTCCAAATCCTCCAACCACGATGCCGATTAAACATCACCGTCCGCGCCGCCTCAGTGAAACCACCGCCGGAATCTCTCTCTGCCGCCAGAACTCGGCGACAGACACTGTTGATTCTTACGGCGACGGCGACGGCGGCGGTAGTGGGGAGAGAGAATCCGTCAATGGCAGAGGACATTCCTCTGTTCGGGCTGAGGAAGAAGCTGAAGAAGGTGGAAGAGGAGGCGGAGGAGATCGTGAGGGAAGGATTCGAGGCGGCGGAGAAAGGACTTGAGACGGCGGAGCGAGGGATCGTTACGGCGGAGAAGGGCATTATAACGGCGGAGAGAGGGATCGAAACGGCGGAGAAAGAAATCGAATCAGCGGTGAATTTCGGAGCTCTGTCGCAGGCCGGAGCGGTCGCTGGAGCTGAGGTCGTCGGAGTGCTTGTTGCTACTTCAATTGTTAATGGTATTTTGGGTCCTGAAGCGCAGAGATAAAATTAAATGGGTATTGGATCCTAAATTTTAGTGTTTGTTTACTGCTTTCTTGCTGGGGTTTGTGTTTATAATTATTAATGAACGAAATGTTGTAGAAATATTGGATAAATTATGTAGCTTTGGTAGTGATGAACATCTTTGTTGGACGGTTCAATCCAACATTTGCATCGATCGATGTTTGGTCTGATTTCACTCACTACCTTTTAGTGTGAATGGATAAAGAAAAACCCTCAAAGAGCTGGTTGTCAAAGAGGCACAACTATGGAAGTTTACTGTGATGTCCCACATTAGTTGGGGAGGAGAACAAACCACCGTTTACAAGGGTGTAGAAACTTCTCTTGGTAGATGCATTTTAAAGTCCTGAGGGGAAAGCCCAAAGAAGACAATATCTGCTAGCGGTGGATCTGAGCTGTTACATTTACAACATTCATTCTTCTTGTCACGGGCTGGGAGAGAGTTCAAGACTAAAGAAAACCAAAGCATCTCTTCTTTTTTGCGTTGCCTCGAGGGCTCACGGGTTTGTGGGCACAAGTGAATAAGACTTGAATTTAGATACAAGTGGAGTTCGGAGAGTTAGAAGTTAGCCAACTAAAAACTAAATGTGAGAAGAAATGACTAGTAAGACCTATGAGATAGTCTAGGCAAGCTTATGACATCGAGTTATAGCGCTTGAATATAGTATGAGTTTCCAAGGGGATAATGTCAATCGAAGTCTCAAAAGCAGATCAATGAGAGTGAGTAAGAAGAAGCCCTAGTTAGGCTATGGTTAGAGCTTCAAAACTAGAATTCCTAGATAGGTTTAGATGGTGGATGACAAAATTATATAATATTAATAAGACATATGAGTATATAATATTTGGACAGAAATAAGACTTATGAGTATATAATATTTGGACAGAAATAAGACTTAGGAGTAAATAGTGACCGGAGAACTTTGAGAGAAAAGTAATTATGTTTCAAACTTATATTTGGAGTAGATAACAGTGGTATATAACCTTTCCATCAAAATCTAGATTAACTTTATTTAAGAGTTTATAGTTACGTAGAAGATTTTGAAGCGGGTATAAAAAAGAGTTTCATTTTTTTTTTTTTTTAATCTATGGTCGTTACCTAACAACTTTATAAAATTTTAAAATAGTATGTTATAAATATTAACGATGTGTCACATATATATGCATACCTATAGCGTGATGATGCATCTGACTCAGGATGATCGTACAAATACATACAGCATCCTTGCCGTTTCGATAGCCTAAGAATGAGTCCGCTCTCCACATTCGGTTGTTGTTCCTCAATTTCTCCTCCTCACATACCCTAAAATCCCTCTCTCTCTCTCTTTCTGTGAGAACCCCACAATGTTCGGCACCGGAGGCTCATCCAGACGCGGCCTAGTTTTCTCCGAACACGAAGACGACGACAACAACACCGTCCACAAAACACGCTTCAACAAACTCAATAAATCCTGCCTCCACGATTCCGACATCTCCCTCCGACTCCCACAACCTCGACCTCACCATCCTCCCTTCAATGGACACCGAGGCCGACCCGGACCCCTCCTTCTCCACCTCCCCCTTCGCCAGATCCCCATGGTCCGCCCACTTCAATACCGACCTTCCGCCCACACCCGAGGACAATTCCTTCCTCCCCAATATCCTAATGGGCTCCCTCGTCCGCGAAGAGGGCCACATTTACTCCCTCGCCGCCGCAGGGGACCTTCTCTACACCGGATCCGACAGCAAGAACATCCGCGTCTGGAAGGCTCAGAAGGAATTCTCCGGGTTCAAATCCAACAGCGGCTTGGTCAAATCCATTGTAATCGGTGGCCAGAAGATCTTCACCGGCCACCAGGACGGTAAGGTCCGGGTCTGGAAGGTGTCGACTAAAGACCCAAGCGTCCACAAACGAGTTGGAACGCTCCCCACGTTAGGCGATTACATCAAATGTTCGATGAAACCCAGAAATTACATGGAGGGGAGACGGCGGAGGAACCTGTGGATAAAGCATTTCGATGCAATTTCGTCTCTGAGTTTGAGCGAAGACCAAAATTTCCTGTACTCTGCTTCTTGGGACAAGACCTTCAAGGTCTGGAGGGTCTCCGATTCCAAATGCTTGGAGTCCATTCAGGCTCATGACGACGCCGTCAACACTCTGGTTTCGAGTATTGATGGTTTGGTCTTCACTGGATCGGCCGATGGCAGTGTGAAGGTCTGGCGGAGGGAGCTGCAGGGGAAGGGGACCAAGCATTTTTTCTCGCAGACATTGGTGAAGCAGGAATGTGCCATTACTGCTCTGGCTGTCAACGACGAGGCCACTTTCATCTACTGCGGCTCCTCCGATGGGGTGGTTAATTTTTGGGAGAGGGAGAAATCGTTGTCGCACGGCGGCACTTTGAGAGGGCATAAGCTTGCTGTTCTCTGTTTGGCGACGGCGGGGCGGTTGTTGTTGAGTGGCTCCGCCGATATGGGGATATGCGTCTGGCAGAGGACGGCAGCGGAGCATTCTTGCTTGTCGGTGTTGACGGCCCACACAGGGCCAGTGAAATGCTTGGCCGTTGAAAAGGACAGTGAAGCCGGGGAAGGCGAGCGGCGGTGGATTGTGTACAGTGGGAGTTTGGATAAGTCGGTGAAGATATGGAGAGTGTCGGAACAGCCGCCGGCCGTCGATCAAAGTCCGCGGCAGCAGTTGGGGGAATCGCCCTCAGGCAGCGGGTTCTTTGTAAATGCTCCCAGTTTCGTAATTCGAGGACAGTAACAGCCGATTTTGAGATATTAATTAATTCATTAATGGTAGCAACAATTTGGTTAAATTAAATTAAATTAAATTAATAAACAAAATCATTCCCATCAAATTCAACCTTTAATTAAAATATTGCAATTAATCTGTTACCGAAACTAAATTACAAAATTATTCGTGAACCACTCATAAATCGTACAAAATCTAACTAATAAAATCATTATTCTACAAATATTGAAATGAATCCAACTACAAAATTAAGCATGCTCTTACCAATAAAATATATCAATCCAATTAATTAGAAAAATATTAACTATTAAGGATATAATTAATTCATTTGTTATTAAAAAAAGGATTTAATTAATTCATGATAGGCACCCTTTATTGTAATAAGGTTGTAAATAAATAAAAACATATAGTTATAAATAACCAATTTTATTATTATCATTATTTCTAATATTTTTTATAAAAAATATAGCCGATGCTATTTTTAGTAAACGGTCTGAAAAAAATATGTCAACGATCGATCAACTATGTTTGTACAAGAATGACCATCAACTTGTTAAAACCTTATATATATTTATTTTCACAATTATTTTTTAATATTTATTCTTCGACCAAATAATTATTAACTATTTGGATAACAATTTTTAAAATATATTTTAAGATTTAAAAATAAATAAATTAGATGTTTTACCCACTAATCTTTTGCTTTTATTAAAATAAATTACATAAACAACCCAAACCAATAAATAATAATAATAATAATAATAATAATTGGGTTGAGTCTAAAAGATGTCCCGGTTCAGCTCAATTTAACTCATAAACATTGCTACAGATGTTGTCTTCTTTGGGCTTTACTTTTCAAGTTTTTCTTCAAGGTTTTAAAAACTCATCCGTTAGGGAGACGTGTTTTAAAAGCCTTAGAAGGAAAGCTCAAAGAGAACAATATCTATTAACTATGAGCTTGGGTTGTTACAAGGGGCGCAATACTGTCACACCCATGCCACCTAATAGTCCTTAAAAACTCATTTAAGAGGAAGTCGCCCGAAACACTCGTCTGAAAATGCTTGACCTCACTGTGACACAGAGTGTGCTACAGGGTAGCTTGCTTAGGCCACAGGGCCAGGGTGGCGGAGAGCTGACATCATGCCTCCTATAGTACATGAGGTAGACATGATTTTGGCAAATAGACATATAGTGTTGTGGAACGTTCGTCCGATGTCCGATTGGCATCAAATTTGACGAGTTTTCATATTTTATATGGACGGACTTGCCTCTAGAACCGCATGTCCAAAATTTCTTTGGAACTCCAACTTTCAAGGTTAAGGCCCGGGGCCCTACTCGACCCTTCAACAAGCCTATCTTTGACACTCTTGTCTACTCGTTGCCCTTATCTTGCTGATGACTTGTCTTCTCTTCAATGTTGTCACGATCCAAAATAAATAACCTCAAGTCGTGGCTAACAATGACTATGACGTGTAGTGTGTAAGTGAGAAATTCAAGGAAAACCTTATTTCAAAAGTATTTCATTTATTTCGTAAGAAAAACATTTCATTATCAAAAGGACTTATGTGTCTAGGTAAAAAAAAACAAGAAGAGAATCATGAAAGACAAGGTGTACTATTAAGTAAAACTAGACTGACGCCTTGGGACACGCTTCCTCTGTGACATGAATGAGTATAAAATTATACTCAGTAAGCCATCTACTTGTAGGCTCTTATCGCATCCTAATCTTAACAAATACCCACGGACTCTACTCTATCTCTAAGGCATCTGGTTTTCGTTTTAACACCTTGGGACTTGCCCCTCACGACTTCTTGATCCTTTGTCCTTTCGTTTAAAGATTCTTAAGAACTCCCTTATGCTGGCTTGTGTAATGACTAGTGCCCTACGAGTAGCTACCTCGGCATGGCTCTAAGACTATCTGGTAACTTACCTAGGAAGTGAGCTGCAACCCCTTAGGCCCACGACAATCCCCCTGGTCGGGGAGAGCTACCTCCCTTAACCCATCCAGCTAAATGGTCTATACAACGTGGGCACACGTTTTCCATGCTAAACGGCTAAGAGCCGTCGGATTCTGATCAGGAACCCCTTGGTCCCCCACGAAGCTATGACACCAATCACACAGCAGTAGCCTAAGGGTACTCTAGTGAGGCTTCGTACGCCATGGTGGTCTGTTGCTCTACTAGGGAAAGGATTAGGTCTATACCTTAGTGTCTTGTTACTCTAACCAAGAATTCCTAGACTTAATCATAAATGCGAGTCATGAAAACTAACTGAGTACGTAGATAACTATCATCCAAAGTCATCAAACATATTTCATGCAAAGTAAGCAGACAAGCTCAACAGGGCGATAACATCCATCAACTCTCGGAGCGCAGAGTTCACAATTTCCCATCCTCCTTTCAGCATGAAAATATACATATACATATACATAATAAGCAGAAACTTAAAGCATAACAGCAGTACTCAGGTAATAATCATAATATTTCACAACATACATCTTACTTTTAACAATTACCTACGACCAATAACGGAAAGCTATAACTTAAGATAATTAAACTAGTATGCATGCATTCCAAGCGATTCCTACAAGTATTGCTTCCTAAAATTCTGTGTGGTAACTTACCTGGATGATGCATGCCCTAACGCAGCGTTTCCACACAATTAGCGTATCAAAAGGTAGCGATTTTCCTCAATTAGGTCCTATTTCATATAAAATGAAGTTAGGATTGGAATCAAGAGGAAAATAGGGAAAATAGAAGTCGAACGGGTAAAAAATGAGCTTACACATGCTTCCACGCGTTAGCCACGTGCCGGGGTGCAACCACTCGCCGGTTCGGTTCGGTTCGCCGCGCGGGTACCGGGTCAGCCGAGGGATGCGGGTCGGGTTGCGTTGCCGGGGACGCGTGTCGTAGGGAGGCTGGAGCTGCATTTTCCCAAGCGGCGTTCAATGCGTGTCCGAAGGTGGTTGACGCACGCGGTCCTCTAGTCGGTTGACACGTGGCATGCCAGCGACTTCTCTCTCCTCCTAGCAGAAAATCAAGGTTTCTGATTAGTTTTCCGACGTTCTTCCCATTTTCTATCTCTCGATTCTTAATCCAGACAGTAATGACTTCTTCAACAAAGTTTTAGATCGTACTTCAACCTACGTGCTAATATTTTTTTTCTTGATTTTTACTTAATCATACTATGATTTATGAGCGTCGAAAAGAGGTCCGGTAACATCCTTACCGTTCTTGGAAAGATTCTCAGATCTCGACGTTTCATCCGATTTCCTCGCAAAATCAGTGGCGGATCTTCCCTGGATGAAGGTAGTAAACTTAAACACTCTACTCCCAAACAAAGATCTCAGATCTAAAGAGTATTGTTCGAAAACTTACCTTATGGGTTTTCTTTCTGATCTTGACGAAAGAGGAGGAAATCTCAACAACACGAGTTCTTACTTCTTTCCAAGGAGGACTCCAGAGTGTAGGTCTTAGTAGGGAATGGATTCCGTCGGTGACTCTCCGACGAAGACTCCGGCTATTCAGTTTTCTCTCTCAAACTTTCTCTCAACCTTCTTTCTCACACTTCTCTCTTTTGCAGGAATTCTGTGGAGAACCCTCAAGACCCCTGTAATGGGCTGAGGGGTAAAATGTCCATTTTGCCCCTTGGGCTTTGACCGACTTTTTTTTTTTTTTTTTTTTTTTTTTTTTTTTTTTTTTTTTTTTTTTTTTTTTTTTTTTTTTTTTTTTTTTTTTT